AAAATATTAATAAACAAACCCAAACATACTAAAGCTCGGTTCGGCTCGTTTGCAACCCTATTTGTGATGGAATGGAACCGTGTATATGATATATAAGGGTATTTTAGACATTTTGCTTAAGCTGAACCTTTTGAACAAAGTATTTCAACACTTGAACTTTTGACCAAACAAAATTGAATTTGAATTTATAGGCTGAATACCTTTTTATTTTTATAGTAATATTAACATTTTTTTATTATATAAGAGAAAATTACAAAGAGTAAATCCAGAAAAATTTTCTTACAAATTATCTAGAAACACTCATGTGTGGTTCAGATTTATTTTATATATGAATCTTACAATACATGCTTTCAATCTCCACTATACATTTCATTCTTGCTACAAATCTAGAATACAAATAAAATCTTAACTTTTAATTTATCGATTAAATCATTTCCCTTCTAACGAGGGCGTTTGAGTCTCAAAAATTGATTTAAAAAAATGGTTGCCAAATATTTTTAGATGTTATATTAGTCTATAAAAAAATATCTAAATTTAAAAACACCGACAAAATTAGATAAATATTAAAAATTAATAAATAGTTGATGCGGTGAATTATGTAAAACTAATAAATAATTATTTTTATTTGAAAAATTTGAAGGGATATTTATCAATAAATCTCATCTCACAAACAAGTACTCTAATTAGTCCTAATTTTTTTCTATTAATTTATTAAGTCCTATTAGTGAAGAGTTTCTTTCTGAATAGTTCTATTTTTTATTTTGGTGATGTTTTGGTGGACTACTATACCATTTTATTAATGTGACATGTATAATGTGATACTCTAATGTAGCAAGTATTAATGTGACACTCTAAAAAAACTAAAAACTCCTTAGTATACTTTTCCCAAATGTGACAATGTGGCAGGTATGATATGACACTCCAAGACTTTTACTCCAAAAAAATTAAAAACTCTTTAGTATATTTTTTCTAAATGTGACAACTTGACGGATATGTTGTGATACTCCAAAAAAATTAAAATTTCGTTAGTATATTTTTCTCAAATGTGACAACGTAGCAGATATGATATGGTACTCTAAAAAAAATTAAAAACTCCTTAGTGTATTTTTTTTAAATGTGACAATGTGGTGGATATGATGTGATACTCCAAAAAAACTAAAAACTCGTTAGTATACTTTTCCCAAATGTGACAACGTGACGGATATGATGTGACACTCTAAAAAAAATAAAAACTCCTTAGTATACTTTTTCTAAATGTGACAACGTGGTGGGTATGATGCGACATTCAAAAAAAAAAAAAACTCTTTAGTATATTTTTTCTAAATGTGACATGTGACACTCCAACATGGTGGATATGATCCAACATGGCAGATATGATGTGACACTCTAAAAAAAATAAAAAACTTTTTAGTGTACTTTTCCCAATGTGACACTCCAACGTGACGGGTATGATGTGATACTAAAAAACTCCTTGGTATACTTTTTTCAAATTTGACACTCCAATGTAGTGGGCAAATGAGTCATTACACATCCAAAAGGACTAAATGGATTACAAGAAGAAATATGAGATTATATGAATTACAAGTTCAAAATATGAGACTTATTGGTCAATCTTTCAAAATTAAAAAGCATATTGATATGATGACTTATTTGAAATTAATGAATGGATGAATGTTCCCTAAATTTATAAATTATATATAGAATACGATTAATTATATTAATCATAATTGTTTTAAAAAAAATCAAATTTGAAATTGATTAAATCTTATTTTGAGTCAACTATTTCACAACAAAGATTAAATGGATTAAAAATTTTATCCATTGAAAAATATTTAGTTGATAACTTTGATTATGCAGGTTTGATTAGCAATTTTATGGCTAAAAATGTGAGAATTGTAATGTTTTAAAAATATTTTGTTACAATTCACTTACTTTTTATTTATTATTTTAGTTTAGATTATTTTAATTATTTTTCTTATTATAAATTTCGTTATATATTTAAGTAAATTTTATGTCAAGAATAAATAAAAAATAAAAATTTGTCGAATAATCTTTTGATTATAAATTTTTCCCCTTAAACGCATAAAAGATTTCTCATGGAAAACTCGCTTCGGACCTAAAAAATAGAAAAATGGGTGGGTGCTCGAAATTCGTGGGTCGAATTTGGGTTGAATTCGAAGAGGGAGAGAAGAGAGGAGAAGGAGAAGAGAGGGAGACGGCGGGTGCTGGTTCTGCCGACGCCGTCGCCTCGCCATCCTCGTCGCAGCCCTCCTGTGCCTCCGCCGCGAGGAGCTCGTCGCCTCCGCCGCCTCCGCCCGCCGTCCTCGTCGCAGCTTCGCAGCTCGTCGCCTCTACCCCCCGTCTCTGCCTTCAGCCCTAATAATTGGGCCCCCTCCAGTCCTCTTCCTCCTCCCTCCTCCCTTCCCTTCTCCTCCTCTTCTTCTTCTTCTTCTCCCCTCTTCTTCGTTTCTGATTAAACACAGGAAACAGAAAACAAACAAAAAAAAAAAAACAGACACCAAAACGACGTCGTTTTGGTGTCGAGCCAAATTCGACCCACGAATTTCGAGCTACCAACCGGGGTTGTAAAACGTCGTTTTGGTGTCGAGCCAAATTCGACCCACGAATTTCGAGCTACCAACCGGGGTTGTAAAAAATATCAAGCCTTGCATCTAATTTGATGCCAATCATGACCCTTTTTCACCTACCATTTTCATCTCTAGGATAAATAATATCAAATTCTTTTATTTTATTTGAATTCATAAATACAAAATAACTTTATAAATTCATATTAGCAACTGAGTAATTTTAGGAATAATTTTTTTATGTTTATTTCTAGAAAAGTTCCACAAAAGTTATAGTGAGATAATAGTATTTGAAATTGAATATATTTAAAACAAAGATTATTCTCTTAAAAAAACAAAAAATGTTTTCGTGGTACATAAATATTTTAAAAATAAAATTAAAAAACATATATTTGGTGAATCGTCAAAAGTGTTAATTAGGTAGTGGAGAGTGATCAAATGTGCTAGTGGTTGGAAGTGATCGTTAAAGGTCATAGACGGTGATTGTGCAGTCATTAAAGTCAGTTAAAGGATTGTCTTGTCGATTTATTGAAAAGTTATTGACAGCCAATTGTGATAAGAGATGGTAGGTGAGAGAGAAAAAAGTAAGAATTTGTTATAAAAATAAATGAAAAAATATATATTTTAAATTTTAAATTTTTTAGAATTAATTCAACTTTTTTAAAAAATAAAATAATATATTAAATAAATTTTTATATATAATTTTATAAAATAAAAACAAAAATGAAAGCCTCACCAAACCACACCCACCAAACCACAGCCACACTTTGGTCTCTCTTTCGATGTCCATTTGACTTTTGAAGTCTCGTCTAGGGGTCACCCACCCCCATTCAAAATAAAAAACAAGTGTCTCACCAACTCACTTTCTTACCTCAAAAATATATTATTACCACGTCTTGCATCTGCCAAACAATATTTTCTTATTTTAAAATACAAAATAATAGAATTAACATTAATCAATGCACATGAAATCTACAAATTTAAAAATAAAAAAAACTCTGAAAGTTTAAAAAATAAAATTCACACATTTTTTAGTGCTTACTTTTGGTGATCAAAACATCCAAAGTATATATTAGATTGAAGACGTTATTTGGTAATTTGAAAATATTATTATATGATATTTTGAATTAAGAATCATGCAACATGTGTGTCTAGGACATACATTAAGAATGTTTACAAAAATAAAAATTTTATATTACACATAATTTGAACATAATATATATATTTAAAAAAAATTTATTAAAAAAGTCTTTAATTTGATGTGATTAATTTATGGGCAAATTACACTGATTGTCCTTACAATTGCTCCTCATTTTAGTCCATCCATTTCCAATTGGCTCAATTTTGATTTTTAATTTTAAGATTTGTGTCATTTTGGTCGAATTGATAATACCGTTATTGTTTTTGACAAAAAATAATTACAGAATTTGTTGAGTTTAATTTACTGAGTTTAATAAATTTATAATTTTACTCTTAAAAATATAATAGATGCACTTATATGTATGTATTTTTTTTTTATAAAAAAATGTTAACAGTTGTAATCAATTGGATCGAATTAAACTAAAATCATAAATTTAGAATCAAAATCGAATCAATTAAAATTATGGGGACCAAAAAGACACAAAGACCAAATTAGAAAGACTACTATCGCAATTTGCCCTTATTTTATACATTAAATTCAATTAATGACTTTTTAAAGTTAATATTTTTAAAATTTTAAGAAAAAATATGTAAAAAAATGACAAATAATAATTGATAAGTAATTATGTGTTTTACAAAGGGACATTTTTTCATAAATCCATTTTCATCTACTTATATTCTATTTAATCCACATTATTTTCTTTTATTCCAATAAGTCCTATGAGTGACATAGTTATCAAATACCCCTAATAATATTTACATTTACAGTGTGAATGTTCCGTAATGTGAATGTTCACACCGTCAATGTGAATATTCATACGTCAATATAAATATTTACATTGTAAAATATAAATATTCACATCACTAAATTACTAAATACTTTAAATATAAAAATTAAAATTTAATAAATCAAATATTTAAATAATAAAATTTATTAAAATATAAAAATATTTTATAAACTAATTTAGATACAAACGCTTAAAAAAAAAATTTCTAATACATCACATTTTTACAAATAGTAATTAATTATTAATTAATGTGTTTTACCAGTTCGATGACAGGAAGGGCCAGCTGCCCGCAGGTCGTAATCGGCCACCGACCCCAAGTAGTAACCCGAGGGAGGAGTGGGGAACATCCAACGGTCCAGCTTCAATCTGACTAACCAAAAACACACATGAGCCGTCGATTGTTTGTGTACATCCTCACCAATACCAAGACCAAGACCAAAACCAAGAGCGAGACACGTTTGGAATGAATCTAGCCTAATATTCGACTCACAGAGAGGGGGCTTTCGTTTCTCTTTCTCTTTCACTTACCCCCTTGTGTTCGTCTATATATAGACACATCCCTCTTCTTACAAACCCACACACAGAGAGAGACAGAAAGAGAGAAAGAAGCAAGCAAACAAGCAGCACAAGGCAAAGCTAACTCTCTCTCAGCAAGGTGAGGATTGCTTTTCTCTTTTGTCTGCTGATTTGTTTTTATGCTCTGGTGTTTTAGTTGAAATTTTGTGATCTATCTTGTACTAACTAATCTTCCTTTCAAAATCACTACTTTTAACTGCTATCCTATTAGCAGTGTTAACATTTTTGGATTGCTATGCATTATGCTCTTGTTCTTGCTCTTTGTGTTTTGATTGATCTCAGGACTCTAAACCTAAAGTTGTGAACTGGTTTTGGAATATATAAAATAAAAAAAAAATTCCAGAATTTATGCTTCTTCTAGGATTTAAATTTGGTTAATCCATCTCGCTTTCTCAATTCAATTCGTTATCTGTCTCTGAACATTCTTATTTCGCTGAAGTTACTTGATCTTTGTTAACAAGTTTTAACCTTGCCAGATCTCATGGGTTTTTTTTCTCTCATGGTTGTTTGTTTGGATTTTTTCTGCTTCCAATTATTTTTCTAGGATATTTTTCTGATTCTATATCACATCACAGCATATTACTTACTTCATTTTTGTGCGTTTAGTAGTTTGATTGATGATCTTTATTTAGTAAAAATGTTTATTAATAAGACTTGCTCTATTTCATGTACCTTGATAAGTTTTGATCTAGATTTTTGATGATGGAATGGAATGGAATAGAAAGGAAATTAAATTCATAGAAAACAACCAAATAAGAAAAATGATTTATTTTTATTTATTTTTTAATAAAAAGCATGTTCATCTTCTTCTTATGTTATATCCCAACCAAACAAAAGTGAACAATTTTTTTATCTGATTTTATTTCTCCTTTTCGTGTTTCCCCTGATTCTTTCCTTTTCCTTTATCAAATCCAGGTTTCAAACATAGCTAAGTGTTTCTTTATTAAGGGGGTTAATAAAACGAATCACACTTTCACCACTAAACTATACCCGCCACATTGTGATTATTTGCTTGATATTCTGAATCCTCATTACTAATGGAATCCTATTATGTACTGTTAATGACTTACTTTAATCATTTATGATATGATACATCCAAACAAGCACAAGCGTATTGCTAAATGTCTCCTGTTACAAGGACCACCTAGTTGCAAAGCTTATCCAAGGGGTGTTTTCGTTAATGCCTTGCGAAGATGCTACTTAAGTGCCTTTATGTTTGTTTGTGCTTGGTACACCTGTTTGCTGAGAGATCATTTTCACTTTTGCGCCGTGCAGCTTGAACAAAATGGAGACCTTCCTATTCACATCTGAATCAGTGAATGAGGGACACCCTGACAAGCTGTGCGACCAGATCTCTGATGCAGTGCTTGATGCCTGCCTTGCCCAGGATCCTGACAGTAAAGTTGCCTGCGAAACTTGCACCAAGACCAACATGGTCATGGTTTTTGGCGAGATCACAACCAAGGCCAATGTAAACTATGAGAAAATCGTGCGTGACACTTGCCGTGCTATTGGGTTTATCTCTGATGATGTAGGTTTGGATGCCGACAACTGCAAGGTCCTTGTTAACATTGAGCAGCAGAGCCCCGATATTGCTCAGGGTGTCCACGGTCATCTAACCAAGCGACCTGAGGAGATTGGTGCTGGTGACCAGGGTCACATGTTTGGTTATGCAACTGATGAGACCCCTGAATTGATGCCCCTCAGCCACGTTCTTGCAACCAAGCTTGGTGCTCGCCTGACAGAAGTTCGCAAGAATGGTACCTGCCCATGGCTGCGACCAGATGGTAAAACCCAAGTGACTGTCGAGTACTACAACGACAATGGTGCCATGGTTCCCATTCGTGTGCACACCGTCCTCATCTCCACCCAACATGATGAGACCGTCACAAATGATGAGATTGCTGCTGATCTTAAAGAGCATGTCATCAAGCCTGTTATTCCTGAGAAGTACCTGGATGAGAAGACCATCTTCCACCTTAACCCTTCCGGTCGCTTTGTAATTGGTGGACCTCACGGTGATGCTGGTCTCACTGGCCGCAAGATCATCATTGACACTTATGGTGGGTGGGGTGCTCATGGTGGTGGTGCTTTCTCTGGAAAGGACCCCACCAAGGTGGATAGGAGTGGAGCATACATTGTCAGGCAGGCTGCAAAGAGCATTGTGGCCAATGGGCTCGCCCGGCGGTGCATTGTGCAGGTTTCTTATGCCATTGGTGTTCCTGAGCCCTTGTCTGTTTTTGTGGACACGTACAGGACTGGAAAGATTCCGGACAAAGAGATTCTCAAGATTGTGAAAGAGAGCTTCGATTTTAGGCCTGGAATGATTGCTATCAACCTGGATCTTAAGAGGGGTGGCAATGGCAGGTTCTTGAAGACTGCTGCATATGGGCATTTTGGCAGGGATGACCCCGACTTCACATGGGAAGTTGTGAAGCCTCTCAAGTCAGAGAAGATTCAGGCTTAATTAAGGCGTCATTATGGATTACCGAACCATATTACTTTTTTTGGCTGCTTATGTTTGCTTATCGGTTCATACCTTTTTTTCTTCTGTTGTTGCTATTCATTTTTTTGGCTATGGGAGGTGAAAAACAAAAGAAGTGGGTGTGGATTGCCTTTGTAGTCTCTATGTATTGCTTATTGCTGCTGAGAGACATAGTAATATCCACAAGAAAATGAGTGCACTAGACAGTACATTGTGAAATGATGTGATTGTTTACAAAGATTTTATTTTAATACTAATCATAAGCCGGCTCTTCCGTTAATTTTTTCTTTTATTGCCATCTTATTGTTTGAATGGAAAGTGAAACTACATTTGGGCAAGTCGGTGGCTTGGTTTGATGATTGGTTTCCACGAAAATTGGAGAAAGGCAAATAAAAGTAAAACAGAGGCAGGTAGCTATTTTTCTCACGGTTATGATCATCTGTTTGAAACTCTCTCAACCACCTTCAATTCTTGTCAGCTAATTCTACTCCCAACACCTTTATGATTTAGTCCAAAGGACCTGGTGAAAATCATTGCACTTTTACTATCTGTTTCTTCTTTTACCAAGAGCTTTGCATTGCTTGGTTGATCAAACAGACCGACCTAATTTATCAACTTGTGCTATGATTTCCAAAATAATGGATGAAATCAATGAAGGAGATACACAATTATTGTGTCGATTTTAGAGTTCCAATTTGAACCATATCCTTGTCCCCATGAAGTAAACGCAATACCAATCAATGTGAAATAAAATCGGCTAATATTTAAAACCCTGGATGGAACCCCATGCATATATATGATAAAAAAAACAAACTGTGACATGTTCATTGGCGAAACACTTGTCCATCTCATTCCAATCTATCATTTCACACTATTTAAGTCATTAAACTAATGATGGAACTAGCTATAATACCATCCAACCATCTCATCTCCCACCAATTTATTCGGTTTATTCGTAAGCATCGCTTTTACTCACCAAGCTGGTATATGCATTGGCCAACAGCTGCAAAAAGCGCGCACAACACATTAGAGCACACTTCAAATGAATTAATTTTTTGGGAAAAAATGAATAAAAAAAATCGTGTTGTGACATAAGTGATTACATGGGTCTTGGGTGATTATAAGTCCGCTGCCACCAAAATTGCAGCCGTGGTCGAACTGTCCGGCAATTTGGTAGTACATATTCATGACAACTGATGCATCGGAGACTTTGTTGGTGGCCGGATTGTAACACATGCCGCCAACTTGGATGGCACTGCAATCAACTTCAATTTGGATGCAGCAGAACTGAATAATATCATCGAGTTTAGCAGCCAGAGTGGAGGGCTTTACAATGCACCATTTTTCCTGAACATCTTTGATCTGTTGTTAAGAAAACACTGAGAATACTGACAGTAAAAGAAGAAGAAGAAGAAGAATAACAGAGTATATCACCTGATATGGGACAGATAGTGAACCCGCGTTCTCCACTGGCAGAGGGCTTGTTTTTTGATCACTGGGTAATTGTTTTTCAAAGTAAAAAAATTAAGGACGACTCATGACAAGGTTAGAATAGAAATGAAGAAATTAATGAATTACTTTTTGTGGATTATAACAGTGGTGCTATTACCTGACACTAACTCCATTTGGAGCATGATTCGGAATTTGAGGCTTGGTGAACACATTGTTTACACCAACAAACACAAGTGGTCCAGCCTGCCCGGTTAGAGCACTTACATCAACAGTTATTACAAGACAGAGCATTGGCTGTTTGGTTTTGGTTTTCGTTTTTTTCAAAAACAAAACAATGAAAACAGCTTTTGGAAAATTGAAAACAATTTTTGGTGTTTTCTTAAAAAGTGGTTTTTATTTTAATATTTTAAATATCATAGAAAGGAAAAGAATTGGCAGCAAAATTCTGCTAAAAATGCTTTTTCTTGTAGTGCTTGGACAAAGATTCAGAGGATGAAAGAATTATACCTTTTTTCCTTCATGTTGAACGTCCTGTGACTCTGCATAATTTTATGCCACAGTTAAAAGGTGATCCATGGAAAATTCTTCTACTTCTAAGACTCTTAAACAAGCATCAAATCAACATTTTCAAAAAAATTAGTAAAAAACAGAAAAAATAAAGATAAAACAACTAAGTTTATTGGAAGTTGCAGAAATAAAAAATAACATGGGGCAATTGAAATGAAATGTAAGAGACCTGTGCAAGCACTGAAACACAGAAAACAAGTGAGAGCAAGAACAACAAAGGCTGAGGAGTGCCTTGTCATGACCATTTTTGGAGCACTGAAGCAACAGAAGACAGAGAGAGAAGGAATGCAAGTGTTTTGAGAAGCAAAGAGCTGGTTGATATTGGCTTAAATAGAGGAGATTTCACCAGCCACAGAGAGACCCCTCACTGACTAGCCCTTACTACTAGTACGTTACTAGGATGCAACATGGTCGGTCTAATTTTTCTTGGCGGTAGGTAGGTTGCAAGAGGCAGAGCCCCATTTCCCCAAGGTGGGATTTTGGGGCCAACTCAATTTTGGAGTTTGGTTTCCTTTTTAGAATTTGTTTTTAAAATTATTTTTAAAAAATTTAATTTGATAAAAAATAAACATCAGAAAAATATTGTTGCCCTAAAAAGAGAAAACCTGTTTTTTGTGAGTGCTTTTATTTTCAATTTTTTTTTTTAGTATACTAGTTTTAGATTTGAAAAAAAAGAAAAAAAAAACAAACAAACATAAACAATTTTTGCATAGGAAAGTAAATAGAGTGAATATTTCTACACTTGAGACCTATGATCTTGGTTCAATGTATAGGTAGTTGAGGGGCTGCTAAATCTGTATTTCGTGTGTAATATTTTCTCATCATAGTGGAATTGTTGGGACCGTGAATATAACTATAGTTTTAAGATGAATCACGCAAATCTTGTATTATTGTGTGTGTGATTTACAATTCATATATATATATATATATATATTTTGGAGTGTCTCAGTCTCCAATCTTATTATTAAGTGCTAGGACTTTCTAACGGTGACTGCGTTGACGCAACCATTGATCAAAATGGCATTCTCGATTCTCCATTTGCACAGACCAACTTTACTTACACCCCAAGGCAATGCCATTACTGGTTTTCTTCAGAGAAAAGTAGATATTGACTATAAGGCTACAATGAAATTGAAAGGCACTGCAAAAACAATTTTCAATTAATGTGTATGTATTACCAAGTTTAGGACACTCTTTGCTCTTTAATGGCCTTTAGGGGGGAGAGAGGGCAGTTGAAAAAGGTTTCAAGAGCAGGACTAGTTGATCTATATTGGTCCCATTGTCTTTGGACACGGAGAAAATCTCCTCTCATTTCAGGCAACAAAATAATGTGAACCAAACAGGGCAGTTGCTTGTGTCAAAAAAAAAGAAGCAGGGCAGTTACTGGTTTGAAAAACTACAGTGTGCTATTTTGCATATAAACAAAACACAAGAAAATGTGTGGCTGAGATTCATTTTGTGTATAGTCCCCACTACATGCAGAATAAATCTAGACCACACCTCAACTTTTTTATGTATTTTTTTTATTTTGTTTCTGTGCAACTAGAATTTGTTGTTTTAAAAAGAAAAAGAAAAAGAAAAAGAAAGAAAGAAAGTCATTTTTTGTTTTACAAGTTTTCTATGTGCACATAAACTCTTCATTAAATTGGACAAAATCTTGTCACATGAATGTGGGATCCATAAAAAGGTAAGTCTCACTTCATATCGGAATTTGTGATCGATTTCTACACTGCTAAAATTTTTCTTATTTAACATCCATTTGTGTTTGTTGGTATTAAAGAAGAGTTGTTTTATGAAAGTTATCCCACTAGAAATCATATTATTTGCAACTCCACAAGCCCACAGAAAAATGAGGACAGTGAGGAAGGTTGTGTGAGGGCTGTTTTGATGTTTCCATATACCATTTGAAGCACCTATAATAATGGACAAACAACTACATTGACAATTATATTATGGCAAGTGATTCAAGCTGACTGTGTAAATGAGAAAAATTAAGCGTTGGTATAAATGCGCAATAATCAAATTACATAAAAGGATTCAGAATGTATATGCCAGTATTGGGGGCTCACTTCTCTAACTTCGCGCATATATATATACTAGTGGGTGGCACACACGATATGTGTGCAATTTAAATAAGTAGGAATAAAAAGAAATAATAATGAAATTAATATTATAATGTGTACTTAGCTTAAGTGGTATGAGTTCTCGTATTTAAACCCATGGTCATGGGTTCAAGCCTTACCCATCTCTTTGTTTAACTTTTTTTTAAAAAATAATAAAAACATGGCATGAGAAGAGTAAAGTTTCAGGACACCATAAGAGTTATGTATTCACTTTATAATAGTATAGATAGATATATATATAATAAACATATAATTTAATTTTTATGTGACATATTTCCTCCGAACACCCATTGTCATTAATTGCATTATTATAAGTAAAACTGTAAATCCCTATTGTGTACTTCAAAATTGAGCGCGGATTAAGAGTTATGTATTCACTTTATAATAGTATAGATAGATATATATATAATAAACATATAATTTAATTTTTATGTGACATATTTCCTCCGAACACCCATTGTCATTAATTGCATTATTATAAGTAAAACTGTAAATCCCTATTGTGTACTTCAAAATTGGCTCCGGCAGTCATAATAATAATAGGAAAAAGGTTGAGACTCTTTTTCGGAAACTCCATCATTTCTAATATATTGTGATTGGCTAATTTTTTATTTTTATTTATTTTATTTTTTTTCTCCTATCTTTAGCTGACATGTGTCTGTGGGGGGTTGTAAGAGTAAAAAAAAGAAGAAGTCTGAATCATTTATGATAATAACAGCTTGTTTGGTTCTAGTTTTCAGAAAAAAAAATAGAAAATTTTACATTTTTATTTTTCGTATTTTAATGTTTTCAATGAATTTTTTAAAATATTTTAAGCTATTTTTTTTTAATTTTTAGACACACCTAACATAAATATGCTTAAAAACTATAATATTTGTGAAAAAAATCTTTAAAAAATACATTAAATACAAAAAATATAAAAAAATACGAAAATTCAGTACATTTTTTATATTTTTATGTATTTATTAATTTTTTAAAATATTTTTTCATAAATATTTTACTATTTAGATACATCTAAGTAAGACATATCTAACATAGTAAAAAAATTACTTAAAATATACAAAATATTCACTAAAAACAAAAAAAAAAAAAACGAAAAAAAAAAACTCAATTTTTGAAAAATTGAATTCAGAAAATTGAAACCAAACATACTGAATAATGTTCAAAATCGGCTGAGGCCACTCCCCATGTGCCTAAGCCTCTGTTGGAAGCTACAAATACAATGCCTCTTCATTTTTATGGTAAATGTTGTTAGAAATGGGTTTTGGAAGTTTTAGAAAAACAAATTTTGTTTCAATTTTGGTCTATTTTTTAGATGGGACCGATGCGCCAAAGTTGGTGGGTCTAAGTGGTAATGCGTTCTATACCGCGTTGTGATTCACGTAGTATATTTGATTGCTCAAAACCATTGTCGAGTGAATGAGAAATTGAAATCAAAGTGAGCTCCATGAAAATGAAGTTTTCGCTGAAAGTTCCTTAAGGTTTGGTTTAAGATTTGTCCCACATTGGTTTGGTAGGCAAATTTATGTAGGTTTATAAGGCATTAGTTTGTAACTTGGAGAGGGCCACAAGGGGCACCCCAAGTTTGTAGAAGGGAGATGTTATGGGCAAATTGGGCTAGACCCATTGGACCCAAAAATAAACATACACAAGCCACTGTCACCCATCCGATTGGGCTGGGCTTGGGCTTGGGCTTGGGTGCGTAGTGTGAGGTTGGGTTGGGCTTGTCCAGCCCAATACTTATCTTTTTAGGCAAAAAATATTTGAATTAAATTTTATTTTTTGGTAAAATAAAATTTATCCAAAGTTTTAATTTCAAATTTTGGTGGAAAAAATTCAAATTTGTTTTCACTTCTTCCGAATTTCTGTACAGATTCAAATTTGTTCAATACGGGTTTTATCTGTTCGAAATTTAAACCCAACAGATTTGTATCTGTTCATTCAAACCAAACAGGTGTTCAAACAGGTATGCTACCTGTTTAATTCAAACTGAAAAGGTACTATTGCATCTATAAATAGGCAAGCCCTCACTTGGTTTTTTCACTCCAATTTTCGTCCTAAATTCTGTCTGCTCTCTCTGCATTTTTGCTGCATTATTTTCATTGTAAGAAAGAATATAAACACTTAGTGTGTTCGTTATGTGAATAGTGTGTAGTGCTGCTACTATTCACTGTTGATCATTTTATCCTAGAAAATAGACGTCCACAATCTGAAAGCAGCGTAGAGAGAACGAATCTGTCTTAAGGATACAGTGTTAAACACTAGACTTGATCAAAAGTTTGTTCGAGCAATTAATAAAGTAAGTTGTTAATTTATTTTCTGTTTTATTATTTATTTATACAAGATTTTGATTTTGTTTTTGTAACAAAATAAAAATCTGTTTTTATTTATTTATTTTATATTCTAATTTGATTTTTGTAATTAAACAAAATCTCTCTCCTTTTCATTATCTATTCATAATACAGTGAAGATTGTCCAACAATCTTAAGACAGAATATTTTTTGGTGTCTTCATTGTATTTATTTTTCTGTGCTTTCACAAAGTGATATTCTGATTAGAAAATACAAATAGTAATAATATATTGTTTGATAAATAGTAGTAATATACTGTTTATTTTCTTTGACAACTAGTAGTAATATACTGGTGTTATCAACAATTGCAGAATATTAATTTGTGTTACAGAAAATTATTGTGGTATTTTATTTTTCTAGTTTTAGTAATAAAAAAAGTAAAATTATTTTGTGTTATTATTTATTTTCTGGTTTGAGTAATTAGAAAATTAATTTGTGTTTTGGTTTTTCTGATTTTTGTAATCAGATATTATGGTGATTGAAAGTAATACTCCAAATCCGATCGTTACAACGACTACGGTCCCTATCCAGAACCATGTTCAAGTTCCAATAAATCATGGAGAAAAAAGAAAAAAATTTAGTGGCACTGAGTTTAAGAGATGGCAACAAAAAATGCTGTTATATCTTACAACTATAAATTTGCCCCGATTTCTCCGTGAAGAAGCTCCAGTACTTAGAGAGGATGAAAGTAATCGACAAGTTGTTGTTGCTGTAGACGCTTGGAAACATTCTGATTTTTTGTGCAGAAATTACATCCTCTATGGCTTTGACAACATGCTGTATAACGTTTACAGCCCTCTGAAAACAACAAAAGAATTGTGGGATTCTTTGGAGAAAAAATACAAGACAGAGGATGCCGGCACAAAGAAATTTGTTGTCGGTAAATTTCTGGACTTCGTAATGGTAGACTCCCAAATGGTAATTTCACAAGTTCAAATTTTCAATTAATTTTGCATGATATTCATTATGAAGATATGTCTC